TCACTGACCGCGAAGGATGTCAGTCCCAATTCTTACACAGAAAAGGAGGCGGATTGATAGTTCCCAAAGTTCTTTCCGGCGCGCAGCTGCTTGCATACACCTCACGGCTGGAGCTCAGGGACAGCACCGCAAATGCAGAACAGGTACACCACCACGACGTACGCAACCGGGGTTTAAACACGCACTCCGAAAACCCATTCCGCCCGCACCACAAACACGCACACGCAACGATTCTGCGCACACACCGCCATCGAGCCCCGAAGCAACGCAGCAAACGCCGCGCCACGCCGCACCGTGGAAGAGTTCGCAGAGGAGGCGAGTCAATTTTATTGGATAAGGTTGCAAGCAAAAGTCAACTTAGGGATGTCGACTGTGCACTCTGCCCTGGCAACAACCCACCGTCCGCGGTTTGCGTAATTCCGTTACCCCACACCTCCTATTCCCGTGTTATAGAACAACTCGCGCCCCCCAGAAATCAGTCACAAGAGGCCGTTGCCGTTTATTCCCTTGGGGATTCGTTTGCGCCGCACAGCCTGTTCATCGCCTTCTCGCGCGCATAAGAACACGCATGGTTAACCGCGGCGAGGCAAACACCGGGGGCCACACGAGCATGATGATGTATGGGTCAACTTCACACCGTCCAGAATCATCATCGTAAGGCAACAACTGAAAGGAGTTATGTCGTAATACTACCACTGACACTTTTTTGCCGTACACAAATGCCGCGCCATTGGCCGATAATGAATACGACACTACACGGGGATCAGGGGGATCTTACTTAACTAATCACGTCATGCCATAGTACACAACCGTGCGTGTAGGAAAGGTCTCCCTGAAACCACACGCGCGCGCTGGAAGCACTGCAGAGCTGCCAGGGCTCCTTTCCCTGTCCATTGGGTTCGCACCCTCGACGGCCACCGCACCACACAGGCACACACCTGAAGTCCCACCCCACCATGGTAGGTATGTCATCATGTCAATCGACGCGCGTCCTTTACCACATAAGTTACACACGTCGTCACCATGGGGCACACACACAGCAGCACACACACACACACACCAGCCGCAAGATGTATACACCACTCAACACCCACCCAAGCAGCTACCAGGCACACAGATCCTCGCAACCCAGAAACCGCTCGCTAGCATGAAGGTCCGCAAGGGCACGCTAAGGCGGCTCGGCCGCAGCAAATGCTGTAATAGCTATTGCTGTCTGTTAGCTGGTGCTGCTTCGCCGCAGCATGAGCAAGCAAACAGACGAAGCCGCTCAGCACATACGTCACGTGCCCGCTGGGCAACGTGCCCGCAGCCGTACGCCCGTGCCTCCCATGCGGTCATGGTAAACGGACAGTCAACGCGCACAGGTTATCAAAGCAACTCGCCGGGCAACTGCACAACCAAACTGCACGCACACAACGACACCAGTGAAGGCGACGTAACGCACGCCAAGTCCAGGAGCACGCACGCACAACTTACAACCACCCAGCAGGGCCTCCAACCGACTGGTCACAACAACCTGGTCATACGCTCGAAGGGAGACGGGCGTCGCCCCAACGTCTCGCGGTCCAGGTGCACTCCAACCAAAGCTATGGACGCGCGCTTCGAAACCGGACTGCCGTTGCATGAGCTTGGGAAGCCGCAAGCTTATTTATTGGAACAGCGGTGCTTGAACGACTAGCGGCAGCCGCAGTAATAGACTAAGCTGTTGCAGACACACGCACACGAACAGCAGACAAGCTGAAAAAACGCCCACAAGAAGACAACCTGCCCCCTAAATAGCTCCCCTGGCCACCCACCTCCACACGCATATCCTGCATCACGTGTTGCTCCGCGAGGTGTTCACACACCCACCCCGCCAACACGCGTGTACTCAACCCTCCTCCCCATCGCCCTAACCCCAAAAAATGACACCCCCGCCCCGCTAACAACCTCAAACGCGAACCCTGTTACTCGCACGCAACCACACAGCTCATCTGTGAAGGAAGTACGGCTAACAGCCAACCGCCTAACGGTAGCAGTAAGAAGGCAGTGCGGTTGGTTGGGTTTGGGGTTCTTCCCTTCCCCTTACTTGGCTCCGGCGGCGTGGCGGGGGCCGCCGTGGCGGTAGACACCCGTGTAGGTACTCTGCATGGGAGGCGAGGGGAGGGGAGGGGGGATTTGAAAAGACGGAAGGTCGGAGGTTAGGGAATTACCTTGCCAAGTCGAGGCGAGTTAGGGGAAAGCGAGGACACCGTTAGGATGGTGGACGGGTCGGGGAGGTCGGAGTGGGCGAGTGGCAGACATGGGTTGGGCAGCGGGGTGCAAGGAGGTTGGCCCAGGGCAATGCAGGGAGTTGCAAGGAAGGGCAGGCAGGAGGAGTTGCAAGGAAGGGCAGTGCAGGGAGTTGCAAGGAAGGGCAGGCAGGAGGAGTTGCAAGGAAGGGCAGGCAGGAGGAGTTGCAAGGAAGGGCAAGGCAGGGAGTTGCAAGGAAGGGCAGGCAGGAGGAGTTGCAAGGAAGGGCAAGGCAGGGAGTTGCAAGGAAGGGCAGTGCAGGGAGTTGCAAGGAAGGGCAGTGCAGGGAGTTGCAAGGAAGGGCAGGCAGGAGGAGTTGCAAGGAAGGGCAGTGCAGGGAGTTGCAAGGAAGGGCAGGCAGGAGGAGTTGCAAGGAAGGGCAAGGCAGGGAGGTGCAGGTGGGTCCCCCTCCAGGGGTTGCGGACGGACAGGCCGCGGGTGCGGGACGGGCATGCGGGCAAGCTCCGCAGCACGTGTTGTCCTGCCAAGCATGAGGGCGGTTTGCTGCTGTAACCCGCGCAGTTGGCTGCAGCTGCTGCCGTGACGGCGGCAACCGCAAGGAACCGCAGCCCCGGCAGCAGCTGCAAGCACACGGGACGCCTGATATGCCCTTGATGCGCCTTGGGTTGTGCGCGGCGCATGCGGTTGGGGGTGGGCGCCGGGCTCATGTGCACATACACACGCACCCTGCTTTCCTTTTTACGCAACCCGCAACCGCATTCAGCAACAGCCGCTACTTTTATCAACTACCCAGCGGTTATGACCCTTATGAGACTGGGTGTCATCGGCTCATGGCGACACACGGGCAGGTGGCCCTCCTCCCAACCAGCCGGGCCATCCGTCCAATCCAATCGTAACACGAAACTGCCGTACACGTACCTTGTCATCGTGGTGCCGTACATAGTCGGCCTTGGTGGTAGCCGCCAGCGGGTCCACCTCCGCCAGCTTGTTGAAGAGCGCGTCCAGGGAAACCTTTTTGATGGCGGCGATCTCGGCGAGCGCCTTGAGGAAGGCTGCGAGGGAGGGAGGGAGGGAGGGAGGGAGGGAGTGGAGAAGGGGGAGGAGAGGGGGGAAAGAGGTCAAGGAGGGTTATGGTCATAGGGCTGGTGTTTTGGTGATGGGCTGAAAATTAGGGGGAGGAAGGAAAGAAAGGCGTTTATGACTCGGTATGGTGGTCATTCGGGGCCGCTGAGTATGGCGGGCGGAAGGGTTGTGATAAGGGCTGCGGGAGAATGCGAGGCGGGTGGTGAGTGAAGGAAGGGAACAACATTGGAGTGGAGAAGGGCATGATTGAAGGACGGATTATGGAGGATGGGGTAAGAGTATTGCAGTTATTTGACATCCACGAGAGTTGGTAAAGGAAGCGGGTTTGGCACGGGAGCGGGAGAACGCGGGTGGGCTTGGTTAAAGCCGAGCAGCACGCATCGATGGTAGCTTAAGTAGTATGGGAGGTAAAACTGGCACAGGTGGTACCAAATGAGGGGTGAGGGGGCTAGTTCATGGTCACGGGCACGGAAGCGCCCAAAGTTACTGAACGGCTTTAGGTACTCAGGGGCATACATAGGAGGGCAAGGGCTAAGACATCAATTCTAAGGCAAATTAGTCTATCGTTAGTATGGTCAAAGTTATAACTTACTCTCGTAATTGATGCGAGAAAAGCCCTTTGATACGCGCAAATAGATGGCCTCCACATCCATGGGCGTTAGGGCCCCGCACACCAGCCTGCTCTCTCGGCACAGCTTTGCAAACTTAGCGCCATCTACTGTTGCATTAGCAAGGGTCACCTGCATAAGCGGTTCGCAGTCGACAGAGGTTACGCGACATGTTGGGTAACTTCCTTCGGCGCAAGCGGCGCGTCAATATACCGTGAGACCTACCCCTGTCTTTCCAATACTGGCATATTTGATGAAGACCTGCTGCGCGCAATCCTCGGCCATGGTTGACTGCCACCCAGAAAGCGCGTACTGAAAGACTGCTTGCTTACGCCACGTGCCAACGACAACGTATCTGTATTGTAGAAATCAACGTTAGAATGTATATTAATCGAAATGCCAAGGACGTCTCGCCTTCCCACGGAACTGCCAAATAGTGTACGGCTACTTTCTGCCATGGCTAGCGGCGCATGAGCACGCATATACTCCTTCACATCTTGTATGTTTGGGTAACTACTACTAGACGGCATTCCTCTTCCCCGTTTCCAATTCAGGCGCGGCCCCTGTCGGAAAACATGGCAGCACGATAGGCACTCAGCACTCAGCGATAACCGCAGTACGCGCATGATGACTACATAATCGCTCCGCATTAGCAAACCTAATGTATGTAGGAGGCGCGACTAACCCATGTATTGCCACTACACGTCAGCGATGTGCTCCATGCCTGACTTGTGATTCCCGCACCCGTTACCTGACAACTTGACGTGCTTCCCTCGGTTACAGGAGACTACCAGCAGTGACTGGTCTGAACATCCCTTAGCACCCTAGCTGTTTCACAGGTTACTTTGCCCTGCCATTACACGTCACCGGTCTGTACTGCCAGTGGAGCTATGCAAGTGCCTCATTTCAGTCTCACCTTTGGACCTTCCGGTACATGGTTTGCTACACACCGCGTTCTGTGTACTTCACCAAGTGTTGTCATACCCAGCATGCTCCTCTCAGGGCCCCTTAAACACAGACCCACGTAACCTCGCTAACCCTGCGCTGATAAGCATCATTACAGCGGCGAAGCCTTATCCTGAGTTTGTCAAACCTAAACTGCCTTGGTAAACGTCGCAGCTGACTGCCCTCCTGCAATTGGAGATCTTTACCATCCTTCCTCCGACATCCCCCAAGCTGGCGTCTTCAGAACTCGCCAGTCGTAACCCCGTGTTGCGGGGTGTCAATCTCGTACGACTGGGTCGTCATACCATGAAGCCGCGACCGCCCCCTTCGACGTATTCTCCCTCACAACGGATGGCGACATCATGCAAACGTGACCTCGTTGACTAAATGTGTCAAACACGTGCATACCACAATCTACGAAGTAGGCTACCTAAGACACAACCTCTTTCCTCACAGTTCGTTTGCATTCGCCTGCCTACATACCTCCCACCCAGACTACCGTGCTCCCTGTTTCCTCGGGCTCTCACGTCCCAACCAACCTCTCGTCAGCCCACCCCAGTCAGATGACCAGCAGTACCCTGCAACCTGAGAGCGCTCTCCTCGGCATGCCGCTCCTGTCCTGCAACGCAAGTAGTCCTCAACGAGGCTGCCATGTTCCTGCCACACCCGTCTTTCGCAACATACCCCCACGGCAGCTGGCACGTGGCATGTATGCCTGAAAACGCATCTGCACGCCCAAATTAAGCTCCCGCTCTACTCCCTAGGTCCCCCACACAAAGCCGTAGCTCGTCGAGCCTCCCCTTCCCACCGGCATCACCCCAGCCACCGCCTTCTGATCCTGTTTCCCAGCGCACTCCGTACACCCCCCCTCAAACCCATCCTCCTCCCCAATCCCCCAATCAGACCTAACGGCTAAACCATTATTAACTATGTAAATGCTTCAAGAGAAGAGGGCGAGCAAGGCCCTGCAACGCCCTCCATCACATACCTCCATGCACCCGCCTCTGCACATCCCCAAGCACCCAACTAACCCAAGCCAGCCACACGCAACGCCCTTTCAAAAGCCGCCCCTCCTAGCCCTTGGTGAAGCCTGCCTGTCCTACAGCTCGTCCGTTTCTTCCTCCTTACCCCCCAGCGCCCCCGATAGCGCCCCTTCCTAGACCAGCCGCGGGTGCTGCTGTGTTTAACCAGCCGCCGCTGCTGCTGCCCCTGCCCCTGTCACCCCCCCCTCACATCTCCTGCTCGTCCTCGTCCTCCTCCAGGCTCAGTCGCTCGATGGCCGCCTTGATGGTGGCCGCGTCGCTGGAGCTGCCGCCGCTGTAGCTGAGGGCCAGCTCGAAGGACTGCTGGGCCGCCTGCAGGGGGGGGGAGGCAGGGGAGGGTCGGTAGCAGGAACAAAACGGTTTTGGGAATCGGGGTAGCGGGAAAACCGCGTTGGCTGTGTCGGTTTCTGTGGATTGCCAGCTTGTGCGGACTATGTCCACCTCCGAATCACTCCCCTTAGATTGGGTTGTTGTTTCTCCTTGCCTCCCCCCCTCACCGTTAGGTTGTTCTGCCGCTTGTACAGTTTGCCCATCTGGAAGGCCACGCTGGCCTCCCCGGGCGCCACCCGCTGCAGTGCCTGCAGCTCGGAGAGGGCCTGGCAGGTGGGGGGGGGCAGGTGGGGGGGAAAAAAGAAATTCCAAAGTGTGGTATGATAATGAGGAGGAGGAGGAGGAGGGGGGGAAGGAGAGGGGCGGGAGGGGATTGCAGGATAGGCGGCGCAGGAGGGGCAGGAGGGGTGGGTGCATTCCTACTCTCCCAGCCGGTTTTCCCGTTAACCCCACCAACACCAACACTACCACCTCCTCCTCCTCCCCTCCCTTCCTGGGACTCCGTTGATGCACTAATCTATATTTTTCCCTCCTCCCCTCCCTCCCTCCCCTCCCCAACCACCCACCTCCTGCACCCGATCCAGCGAGGCCAGCACCGCGGATCGCTCGTAGCGCGCCAGCGGGTTGGCGGGGTCCAGCTGGATCGCCTCCTGCAGGTGGGGGGGGGAAGGGGGGGATGTATGATAGGAGGGTATGTATGATAGGAGGTGGGTATTCCGCACACAAGCTGGCGTGAAGGATTGCATGCAGTCACAAATGCAGTCGGGTTAGGAAACGCAAGGGGATGGGAGGGGAAGAGGAACCATCTCCTCTTACGCACCCCCTTCAAACCCCACTGACCCCACTACTACACGCAATCCTGTGCAGTTCCCAACCTGCATTACACCCCCCAGCCACCCCACCTGCATTCCAAACCCCTCCCTCCCTCCTTCCTCCCCACCTGCATTACTCCCCTACCCCCACCCCTCTTCCTCCCCACCTGCAGTTTCTCCAGCGCCAGGCTGTGCTGCCCCAGCTTGGCGGCGCTCATGCCCACGTAGCAACGCAGAACGGAGGAGCGCGGGTTCACGGCGGCTGCCAGCCGGAAGTTCTGGAGCGCCTCGCCGTACTTCTCCTGCCGGTACGCAATTTGACCCAAACCGTACCTAGGGGGGGAGGTGAGGAGGAGAGGAAGAAGGGCAAAGGAGGGGTGACAGTTGCTGGGTTGACGTGAAAGGGGCAGGCGGAAGGAGGGAAGGGGAAGTAAGAGGCAGGAGGGAGGGAGGGAGCGGGACAGAAGGTGGATGCGGAAGAGGAGGGGCAGGGGGGTGGAGGTGGGGTATGGTGAGGGAAAGTGACGGGGAACAAACCGTTAGGCAACCACCCTCATCTACGTACCGCCACCCACCAACGCCATCCAACCCAACCCACCACGCTCTTTCCCCTTGATGTACAGGAATAGAACATTTAAAGTCTTGACATGTACAGGTATAGAACATTGAAAGCCTTGAAATGTACAGGAATAGAAAAGGGAATGGGAAGTCTGAGAATGTAAAGGAACCCAGCCCGACCCACATGGCGTTGTAGTGCCGCGGGTCCAGTTTGAGTGCGGAGCGGTAGCACGCGGCGGCCTTGTCGAAGTCCTCGTTGGCCAGGTACTCGTGACCCGCCAGCGTGTAGGCGTAGGTGAAGGTGGGGTCGACCTGGGGGGGGGAGGGAGAGGAGCAAGGAGGGGGGAGGGAAAGGGAAAGGAAAATACCAGTGTGTTGGATGGGAATGGCGAACAAGACGACAAGCAAAGGCAGGGGAGAGGTGGGGTGAGGGGAAGGGGATGGTGACCGAAAACCAGCTGTAAGGGGATGGGCATGATGGGGGATGGGTGGGGGAGCATGAGGGGAAGTACAAGCACCTCCGCCCACGTCCCCACCCCCCACCGCTCACCTCTAGCCGGCAACCCACCGCGGTACCGATCGCCGCGCCCTAACCCAGGTTGCAGCTCCACCTCCGACCCCTGCACCCGCACTCATCCCGGCCCCCCCTTACACACCCACTCACCATTCCACCCGTTCCCATCCGGCCTCCCCGTGGTCCTAACCCGTGTTTCATCCCATCACCCCCACCTTCCCTCACGTGTGCGTTGCCCTCACGCATGTCTTGCCTTCCCTCTATAACCCCCCCCCCGCCCCCCCCCACCAACCCCGTCCCCCACCACCCACCATGGAGAAGCCCCGTCTTTCAGTTCGTCAGTTTTCCTTGTTATTACCCCACCACCCACCACCACCTCCCCCCCTGCGCCGCCCTCAGGAAGAACTCAATGGCCGCCTCGTGCTCCTTCTGCCCGCTGAACAGGTTGCCCATCACGCACCACGTCTGCGGCGCCAGGCGGTCCGTGGCGCTACACTCCTGCGCCAGGTGGCTCAGCTCGTACTCGCGGCGCGTGTGCCACAGCAGCGTGCTGTACAGCTCCATGCCCTCCACACGTGTGCGATCCAGCTGGCGGGCCTGCTCGAAGCTCTGGGGGGGGGGGAGGAGGGAGGGGGGGAGGCCATACCATAGCATAGGAAACCGTAGGTTAGGGTAAAGCAAAGGGGGTAAAAAAGAAATTCCAAAGTGTGGTATGATAATGATACAAGTTAGGAGACGGCAGGGGTTGCATGAGGTGAAGTGCATGGGGGTTGTAACTAGTGGCGTGAAGCGCATGCGGCTCAAGGAGGACAGGAGCAGAGACCTGGTGGAGATCATGGAACAACCACTGACGGAGAGGAGAGCCCACAACCGGCGCCAAGCCACCCACCCGCCCGCTCGGCTTCCGCACACGTGTCCTCCCTTAGCCCTTGCTGCACTCATCCGTTTATCCGCTGCTGCCCTGCCCTTATCAAGTTATCATTCTTAACCCCTTACCCCACACCGCACCTGCGCTGCTTTCGCATAGTCCATGCTCTCAAAGTAAGCCCTCCCCAGCGCACACAGCACCCAGGCCGTGCGGTGCTGCGACACCGGCAGCTTGCCCAGCGCCGCAATCGCCTCGGAGCAGCGGTACGACGCCAGGTGCCGTACCCCCTCCATGAGCGGAGTCAGCAACTGCAGCAGCGCGGCGCGGCTCTCGGCTGCGGCTGCTGCCGCGGCGGCTGCAATAAGGGCAGGATGCACACGGGGATTGAGAGGAGGAGCTTGGAGGGGTGCGCGAGGATGGGTGCATGGGGTGGTGGGGAGGGGGTAAATGGCATGGCAGGAGTGCAAGTGCATCGCGCCATTTCTCCGGCCGGTTCTGCACGTCGACACCGTCCACGGCCGCGCTTGTGTAACCCCACAAACTCCAGAACCCTCGACCTCCTCCCAATCCTCCCGCCAGAACCCAACCCTCCCTTCTTCCCACGCACCAGCTGCTGCCCCGCCCTGCTGGCCCCCCGCTGCTGCCGCTGCTGCCGCCCCGCCCTGCCCATGTCGCCCGCCGAAAGCTGCGAAGAGCGGTTGCGGTGAGGGTGCTCCCGCCCCCGCTGCTGCCCCCGGTGCCGCCAGCTTTGCGTCCGGGTGCAGCTGCTGGTGCACAGGGGCGGGAGGGGGGTCCCGCGGGTCGGGGGTGTTCTGGCTGTCACCCTGGGGGGAGGCAGGAGGGAGCGGGGGATTAATTTGGAGACGTAATCCGCCTTAGGCTGGATTTTAGGGATAGCAATGTATTGTAGTTAGTAGCAATAATCAATAACAAACCGTATTGTAAGCTCCATGGCGGCTGCCAAGGTGATTTGAAATCACTCTGTATTGGCGAATAAAAGGCGGCTGCTACTGTGATAACCGGCGCCGCTGCGCTGCACCTGCTGTCTGTGCTGCAATGCTGTCAGCAGCATCACGTATGTAAGCTCCGCTGCTTAGCTGGGGCTGTCATGCGGCTGTGTGCACCAAAGCATCCCACCCTGCCCGACCCTCGCAATGACCCATGGGTCTAACAAAGCCCAGCCCACCCACTAGTGCGAACCCTGACTAACCTGCATAGCAAGGTAGAATTGGAGGCGAAAGCGTACCGAAACGTTAGTTTGAAAGAAGGCGTGTTGACAAGGAAAACGAGGAAAAGCAGGTATGCGCCCAGTGAGGCTGATAGCTGCGATGGCTGAGCTGGATATTGACGAAAGGCTGTATGAAGGTGAAGAAGACTCGACCACAAAAGTGGAAAAGAGAGGGTGTTAGTAAACGAAGGGCTAAACAAAATAGACCTTCGCGATGGGGAGTACGACAAGTTAGGAAAAGATAGAGAAAGAGAGGGAGAACGCAATATCAGTATTTTAAGTAATTATCAAAAGGAGTGCGGTGCAAAGGGTATGTTGTTAGACGACAGTGGTAGGGGAGAGGGATAGTTAAGGTGGTAAAGGTGACGAGGAAAGGACGGGGTGTAAGAAACAGAAAAGGAAATAGGGAGACGAGCAAAGCAAGTCGTAAGGGGCATGTGGGGTCCGTTATCGGTGAGTGGTATGAAGGTAAAAAAGGGGACAAGGCATCAACGACAGGGCGGGGCCTCACAAGGCTCCCCAAACAACCCTGTCACCCAAGCGAGGAGCGGGGGAGGGGGGAAGGCAGGAGGGAGTGGGGGAGGGGGAAAAATGTAGATAAATGAATCAACGGAGTCCCAATCCCGAATCCCGACTGGGGGAGGGGGAAGGGAGGGCCGCGAGGGAGGGAGGCGCTGTGAGGCGAGAGGAGCGACGGAGGGGCCCCCTGCAGCACCAGGTTGGGGATCCGGGATTGATAGCGCCCGGCTTGAAGTGAAGCTCAAGGCTAGCACGTAAACATTTTCACTATCGAAACTAGTCCCAAAGCAAAGCCCGCATCGCCCGTGTGTCCAGCCACCTTTCTTCCCAGGACCTGGCAAGCCCCACAGCCCCTCCCAGCTGCCCACCCTCCCAGCCCCCCACCCCTCCACCCTACCTCCATGTAGCTCGCCTGTCCTGACTTGGCCTGCCCCACCACACTCGCCGCCCCACTCGGCCCGCCGTACAGGTGCGGGTGGTGGCCGCCGTACTGCGCCCCACCCCCTCCCGCCCCTGCTCCCCCTCCCCCCGCTGCTTGATGGTGATTGTGGTGGTGTCCTGAAGCGCCATGCGCTGCTGCGGAGGCCCCTCCTGCTCCCCCCGCTCCTGCTGCTGAAGCGGAAGCCGCGGAGTTGAGTGCTGCCAGGCGCTGGCTGCGGCGGCGGACGCTGGCGGTGGCGGAGTGCGGGTCGTTGAAGAGCTTGCTGGACACCTTGCGGACCTGCTGGCGGAGGGGGAGGGAGGGGTGGGGGGAAGGGTGGGGGGAGGGAGGGGTGGGGGCAGTAGGAGGGGTGCAATGGGCGGGCGATGACTGGGAGGCGCCATGCTGGAGGCGCGGAGTGAGGGGTTGGAACGGGTATTTGCCAGAAAAGGTATCACCCCCTCCATCCTGTGAACCCAACCCCCACCTGCGGCCCGCTGCCCCCCCTCCCCCCCGCCCTCACCTTGCCCCCCTCCTCCACCACACGGCTCATGCGGTGCGGCCCGCTGCCCGACCCAGAGCCCGGGCCGCTGGGCGGGGGGCCACCGCCCGCCGCGCCGCTAGCGTGAGCTGAGAAGCCAGGGAAGGGAACTGCGAGGAGGGGTGGGGAGAGCGGGGATGGGGCGGGGAGATGAGCGGACAGGGAGAGGTTACTGCGTAGGACGCCGACAACGACAAACACGGGGTTTGAAAGCCGCCAGCATGCCACAGTAATGTAAATATGTAATCGCCCAATCTTCTTCATCTTCCGCCTTCGCCTTCCTCCCCTCTCCCTGCCTTCTCTCAGTTCCCTGCTCCCCCTACTTCCCTCTTCACCATGCTAGGTACGCACGCCGCATGCACAAGCTCGGCAACATCCTTGCCAGCACCGCCATGCCTCCTGATACCTCACTTCCCCCCTCGTTTCTTCCTCCTTACCCCCCCCCCACTCATTCACCCGCACCCCCAACCCAACACCCACCGTCCGCATGCCCAACGGAATGCTGCTGCTGCTTCTGAGGCGGAGCCGGCGGCTGCGGCCCCATCCCCATAGGCGACGGCGTCGCGAACAGCCCTCCTCCTCCTCCGCCGCCGCCTCCCATGAAACGAAACAGGTTCCCACCCGTGCTCGGAGGCGCGCCGTTGCCTCCGTCGCCCGTCATAGCACCGTCAGCAGCAGCAGCAGCTCCGTTACCCCCGTCACCTCCCGGTAACACGCTCGCAGGCATACAGCCTGTGGGCAGCACCCCAAAGCCAAAACCAAACCCGCCGGCGCTGCCCCCGCCGTCCCCGCCGCCTCCAAACGTCGGCACGGGCGACGGCGCAAAAAGCCCCCCGCCGCCCTGCTGCCCTTGCACCGGCGTCTGAAACAGCACACTCCCGCCTCCTCCACCACCGCCTGCAGGGGCTCCCGCCCCAAACGTGGGCGGACCTTGTGTCGCCCAACCCGCCCCCGCTCCTGCTGCTGCCGCTCCGAAACCCCTGTACCCAAACCCGGCACCGCCGCCCCCGCCGCTTGCAGGGGCCGCCCCAACCGCGGCGCCCGCCATCCTGAACCCGCCGGCGCTTGTGCTTGGGGGCCCGGTGGGCTGGTGCTGCTGCGCGGGGGTCCTGTGGGAGGTGCCGGGGGGCATGAGGGGGGTGTCCCGCCCGCCCCCGCCACCACCGCCATGCCGACCCTGCTGCCCGTGTCCCTGACCCCGACCTTGCTGCTGCTGGGGGTGCTGCTGGGGGTGGGGGTGGGCATGCTGCTGGTGGGGATGCTGGTGTGGGTGTGGGGTGTGCTGGGCCGGGGCGGATCCCACCCTGCTGGAGGTGGAGGGGCTGGAGCCGGCCTCCGCGGCGCCCCGGGGGGGCAGCTGAGCCAGGCTGCACACCTCGGCCGCCTCCTCATCGCCCCCTGGGGCAGGAGGGAGGAGCAGGGGGCAAGAGGGGAGCGGGCGGGGCGGGTGGATGAGCATGGGTGAGTGGTCAAGAGGCAGACGGCCTTCAAGCCAACTAGACGGGACCGCACCGCGGCACATACCTCTGCTGCCATGCAAGACCCTCTTGTTGAGCACCCTCCGTTCCTGGTCTGTAAACTGGCACCAGTGCCCTCTTCCCACTCTCCGCCCGCCCACCCTGCACTCCTGCGGGCCCTGTGCCCCACGCATCTGCGCACCCGCACCCCATCTGCACCCGCACCCACCCACTGCGCACAGCTCCTCGTACGCGCACCACAGCAGCGGGTTCAGTCGGAGCGCGCGGAAGTAATAGTCCTTGGCCTCGCTCATGCAGTTGGTCAGCCGGCACACCTTGCCCAGCAGGTACAGACCCGCGGGGCCGTAGGGGATCTGTGTTGGCGGGCGCAGGTACGTGGGGGCGAACAGGGGATGAGACAGTGAGGGATAGGGGAATGCGCAGAGTGAAAGGGGCGCGTAGTGTTCGACGTATGGAGCTAGCAGCAAGAGCTAAGGCGGGTGTGGAGCTTGGGAGACAGCTCTTACACCCTCCTGTCCTTGACCCTTCCTAGCCTTCCAACACCCACAAGCTTACCTCCGCCTCTCCCATTTTCAGCAACGCGTCCTTCGCCTCGGGGTAACGCGACATGCTAAGGCAACACACAGCGAGCAAGTAGCGACTGCGCTGGGAGTTGTGGCCTGAAGCCAATCAAGTTAGGAAGGGCCGGGCCGGGGTAGGAGGCGGTGTTAGGGGGTCCATTGAAGCAGATCAGAGGGGCCAGAGGGACGTCTTGTGGGTTGTGGAAGTGCAGAGAGAGGAAGGGGCTTGGGCTGTTGCACTGCTTAGGATGCTTGGGCGCATAGATGGATCGTGGAAGGGGGCGTGCACAAGTGGGTCCGACCGAAGTTAAGCAAGGGATTGAGACTTGCTGGCGTCCAAGCATCGGTGTTGGGGAGACGGGGCAATCCATGCCCGCGGGAGCTTTGCCGCACCTTTAAGCAGGTGGTAAGCCCTATAGGCCTGATTGCAATGAAGGTAGCATGTTGCTAAAAGTTGCTGGTTGGGCTGCGGTTTGTCAAAAGGTGAAGGTTAGCATGGCGTGTTAACTTTGTGCAGGGCGCCGACAGCCAGTGGGCTTACCTCGCTGTTGTTCAGCGCTACCAACCGCTCTCCTAAGAACTTTGCATTGTCGTATAGAAACAGGCCCAGGCTGTCATGCACTGAAGCAACCAGTGCTTGTTCCGCCAACATTCTATTCGGGCCCGGCAGTCGCCTGCCTACTTAACAAGGTAAGTGCTAAGCCGCGCTAATGCCAACAGGAATATATGGTCACTGCAAGTCTCATTCCCATTGATATCTCTTCGGCATGGCAATGGCAAACGTTTAGGTCCTAGGGTCAACAAGTCAGGCGCGGTTAAAGGTTCAACTATTGCTGACACCAGATGCAGCAACCTGCTAAGAAGTTCCATAGTGGAAGGCGTGGTAGCGAACGAGACGGTTTGAATACGCGATTACGGCACAATCCGGCCTCATCATCGCGACCTGTAAATGCCCTGTTCCCTTCCAGTTCAGGAGGTATTGCAAATATGGACTGGATTTTTGTATCTTGAGGTGGTCAAGGCCAGATCGCTGAAGCCTTTCCAGTGAATGCCTGTTAACGAGAGGGTTCTTCCCAACACAGTCTCCTCCGTCATGACTTGCCTTCCACAAGTAGCACCGAATATGTGAAAAACTTTCTCTTACGCGGATATGTGTTGTGTGCGTTCAGTAAACAACGTGGATGTTGAAGGGTACAATGCGCGGGCAGGACCAGGGCGCCTGCCCTTGCTACTCAGCGCCCTTCACATTCATACTTTTCACATGTGGGTATGCCATTAGAGAAACATCAGGGAAGTCGGTTGGAGGTTGTAATGTGAGCCTGGGGCCTGGACAGCCCCGTGTTGTACGACAAGGCGTGCTCGGCCTAGTTGGCACGTGCTCAGGCCTCAGCAGAGTTAGAGGAACACAGGAAAGTCCGTTGGAGGTCGTTTTATGCGAATCTGGGGCCAGGAAGCCCCAGACAGCTCCGAGAAATCTGGTTCTGCGCAATCGTGTATATGGCCGGGGCCAACCTTCAGTCGTACGAAATCGTTGGCTGAGAAAGGGTTACTTACGTACGTGCATGCCGTATTACAGTAGCAGTATAACATATCTTACCATCCGTAGATGGTCCAAACAGCGAAACATACAGGTACGTGTCATGTCACAGGCCCCACAGCTTCCAGCTACCCAACCCTGCCGTCTGAGGGTTCCACCGGGTAACCTGGAAACTGTGGAAAGCATGTAACCTACGCAAAAGTCAAGGAGACCGCAGGAGACCGAGCACATAAGTGCGGAGCATGGGGCACGTTGCCACCTTCCTCCCTGGAAGTACGGCAGTCGCTTGTGGCATGGGATCACGTGAGCACTGCGTACCGGTATGCGTACCATTTGAAGCATGTCAACCGGTATCACGTTCTATACATTCTCTGTACGACAGCAGCATCACAGGTTGTTGTTCAAACAGGTCGAATACAGCGTAGTCGCCCACATTTAGGAGAACCGCGCCATCGCCAATGTGCTCAGCATAACCCCTGTTATCCGTATGTATACCGATCGCCCCATCAAGTACCGGTAGCCGCCCCTCCATGCAAAACACACACGATAACCAACGACAAGAGTAACCCGCTACCGCGGGTTCACCATACACACCGCAACGTGGGTGCATAGCCCAATATCACTACTGTTCGCATAAGTCTCATACATACCATACTCGCGACCAGTTTCTTTAACATACCATACTAACACAAGCACTGTCTCTTGCGACGTCCCTTTCGACACCCGTACTTGCAGATAGGAAACGCGCGCTGCCGAGACGGATTAACAAGCGTATGAAAGCCTCATGTTGACCGAACGTCACGCAGCAACCTCCAAGGCGGTAACCCCCAAGGGAGCAGCCAGGTTACCAAACAGGGGCACTAAACTCAAGAAGGCAACGTCTAGACAGTTCTCCAGGTATCCGGATACCATGCGGAAAGCTCGGTGCTATCCTTACCCGCGCCCTTAACCACCTGTGCCTCTGTTCCCCAACATGCAACCATAGGCACCCGTCCACCACCGGCACCAACCGCCCCCCTTGACGCCACACCCCTGACCCTTCCTCTTCTCTTCCATGCCCCACCACCCGCAAACCGTACACGGCTGTAGTTCAACCCTAGGACGCTCGCTCCTATTACATATTCACCCTCTCCACCAGCCTCCACCCTCTGCACGCATAGACCCACCCCCTCTAACCCCCCCACCTCCTCCTCCTCCGCCTCACCGCCTGCTGTTCGGCCCCGACCCCGTCCCCCCAACTCCCAGCCCCTGCCCCAGCCCCGCCGTGCTGCTCCGGATGCGGCGCAACGCGTCCTCCAACTCCCCCAACTCCCCCACCAGCCGAGCCTCCAGCAACTCCACGTGTCGGGCCGCCAGGCCCGCCGAGCCGGCTGAGGAGGCAAGACCGCCTGCACCTGCACCCGCTGCCAGCACACCCGTTGGGACAACAACGGGGGCAATGATGCCGCTGTTGCCGTCGGTGCTGCTGCCGCCGCCGCTGCTGCTGCTGCCACCGCGGCTGCTGCTGCCGCTGCCACTGCCACGGATACCGGTGCTGCCGCTAGCATTGGAAGACGCGTTGCCGCTGGCAGGTGCCTTGCCACCGGACTTTCGCAGTCCGCCACCACCCGCCTTTCCGCTGCTGCCGCCAGTAGCAGCAGCAGCAGCAGCAGCAGCAGCAGCAGCAAGGCGTACCCCAGAACGTGCCGAGCCACTGCCGCTGCCTCCGCTGCTACTGGAGCTGCCGCCTCCGCTGCCTGCTCCGCTGGAGGAGCCCGCTGCCGCCGCTGTCAACCCTTTCCTGGAGGCGACCCTGCCGCCAGCAGTGCCTGCCGCTACAGCGGGGGCGCGGGCTGCTGCCGTACCTCCGAGGACTCCGCTGGCGGCGCTGCCAGTCCCGGAGCTGCCAGTTCCGCTAGACACAGCGGTGAAGACGGTAGAGCCGAAGGCGCCCGCGCCACTACGGATCCGGGCACTGCCGCCGCCACCGCCACCGCCGCCGCCGTCGGCGTTGCTGTTCCTTCCTCCGCTGCCCGCGGTCCCAGCCCTTGGACTCAAGCTGCCCCCTCCAGCGCCACCGCCACCGCGACTGCCGCTTCCACCCGCCACCATGCCGCCAAGGGAACTACCCTTCCTGCCCGCCGCCGCCGCTGCGGGCCCTGCCGCCGTCATGGCTGCGGTCCCTGGCAGCGACCCGGCCCACACTCCCCCTCCTCCACGTGCATTGAGGTTGCTGCCACCGCCACCACCACCGCCGCCGCCAAGCCGGGCCGTGTGAGCAGGGCTCCCTACCGTCCCCGTCATCACCATCCCAGGTGCTGCAGCCGCCATCCCTGGAGAAGCCGGCGTCCCGGGTGCCGGCGGCGATGATGGCGTGTTGCTTGACGGTGCCATGCCCGCTATGCTCGTCCTGAGCTCCTCCGCACGTGATATGATGGCTCGGAAGGAGGGCTCGATTGCGCTGCCGCTGCCACTGCCGGTGACGCTCCTCAACCCGCGTTCTGATACCGACACAGCACCCGAACCCGTCATTCGGCCGCCGCCGCCGCTGCCGCTGCCACCCCGGAAAGCGCTGCCGGCGCCCGTGGCTGCCGCCGCGGTGTGCCATGCGCGCCCAATGGGGTCCGTGGCCGTACCGGTTACCGTGCTGGTACGACTGTCCCATCCATGCGATTCGTACGAGGACATGTCGTGCGATTGCGGGTACGGCACGCCTTGGTAAGGCGATTCTGGATCCGAATGGGGTGCGTACGACAGCGACTGGTGGTATTGCTGCTGCTGGTACTGTTGCTGTGATGGCGGCGGTTGGTACGGCTGCTGGTATTGCTGATGCTGATAATGGGAGCCGTAATCAAAGGACTGCCCCTCCTCACCCCCTTCGTCACCCTCCTCCCCTTCCTCGGGTACAGCACCCGCCATAGCGCCCGGGCCGTACACGTCCAGCAGGCGCATCGGTCGGCGCCCTGGCGCCCCGCCACCGTTGCCAGCACCGCTGCCACCAGGGGGAGACCGATGCCGCCGGGAATTGTGCTGAGGCTGCTGCTGCTGTTGTTGTGGCTGTGGATGGAGGAATGATCCCTGCTGCTGCTGCAGCCAGTCATCCTGTTGAAGCTGTCCAAATGCCGGCGGCGGAGCTGCATACCGCCGGCCAGTGCGAGCACTCCACACGTTCCGTTCACTTCCGGCGCCGCCGCTGCCACCATCATCCTCGCCGCACATGCCGTCGGCTAGCGAGGGCTGCCACATCGCCCCCGATGCCCTGGCTGGAGACGACGACGTCCCGAAGCTGTTGTCGTACATGTACGCCGTACCGCTGCCGTCGCCGCCCTTGGCGACATCCCCAGCCATCAAGTAGGGCGCAGGAGGGAACGAGTCCGACGAAGAAGAGGACGGGAAGTACGGCACAGAAGCAACGGCAGTAGCAGCCGCTGCTGCTGCTGCTCCTCCTCCTCGTGGGCTCCCCTGGGCAGCAGCCGCAACAACCGGCTTCACAGCCGCTGCTGTCCTTGCAGCCGTCCCCGTCCCTGCCGCCGCCGCCGCCTTGCTTCTGTGGCTAGGGCTTCCAGAACCAGCAGCAGTACCCGCCGCGGCGCGGCCCTTGAGGGTCACCGCCGCCACAGCCGCAGCCGCCGCGTTGTTGGGCTGACCTCCGGGCCAGAGCTGCTGCTCTATGCGGACAATGTTCTCGCGCATCTGCCGGAGCTGCTCCGCCATGGTTTCGGTGGCGGAGGTGGCGGAGTAGGAGTAGGAGGGGGCGGAGGAGGCGGGCTCGGAGCCGGGTGCCGGGGCAAGTGGCAGTACAGCAGGGGGTGGGTAGTCGGAAGGCGGCATGAGCTGAGCCTCTGGGAGGAACGACGACGGCAACGGTTGGAAGGCCGCGGCGGCTGTTGTTGCTGCTGGAGCAGCAGCGGTGGTGGTACCGGTAGTGGGGTGCTTGGAAGGCGAGGTCGTTGTTGTGATGGTGGTTGTGGCGGTTATGGTGGTTGGCATGGTGGATGGAGGCGGCTGCATTGCGACCCTGCCAGTGGTGCGGACCGTGGTGCTGCGCCCGCCGTCAATTCCGACCGCGCGAGGAGGTTGGGTGGTTGCTGCAGGTACGGAAGAGGAGGACGGCATGACAGGCGGCATCATGCCGCTGCCGCCGGGCCCGCGGCCCCAGCTGCTGCCGTCGCTGAAGAAGCTGTTGGGCGCGCTGGCTGGTACGACCCCGGCCTGGCTCGACACCGCACCGGGCCCCACACCACCAGCAGCAACAAGGGCAGCAGCAGGAGGGAACGCAGTGGCGGCGGTGACAGTGGCCGCGGCCAAGCCAGCAGACAGGCTGGGTGCCTGATGCAGCTCCATGGCAGGCTGCTGCGGCTGTTGCTGCGGCTGCCTCAGGTGGGGCTGATATCCTTGCAGCTGCTGCCAGCTGGAGCGCATGTCAGCCCCGCCTGCTGCTGCTGCCCCTCCTGCTGGTGCTGTCGCGGTAGGGGCCAGGGCGGGAGCCTCTCCAAGCAGCACCTCCGAGTCCTCTCCCGCGGCCTGCAGGAGGGGGCTGTCGGTCATGGATGACAGCAGGCGCTCCATGTCGTGAACCTGGGGGTGGGGGGGGGGGGAAGAGGAAAGCAGGAAGGGAAGAGGAGTTGAGGGAGGTTACGGGGAGAGAGAGAGGTAAGAAAGAGGGCTCTCACGTCTGGAGGACAAGCGAAATCTCCGCGTGCTGCACTTCTATATAGTGCCCCAACCTCTCGGCACTCCCAGCTGCACAACTTCCTTGCACTCCCTGCTCCCAACCCCGGCATCCCCCAAGCCCCGACCCTGCGCACCTACCCGGCTCGCAAGCCCCACAAACCCCCCTCCGCTCACCATCTTATGCAGGTCCTTGAAGGCGGAGGTGCTGCCGGCGGGGGACACCACACCGGACGCAGACGCTGCTGCTGCTCCGGTATTGGGAGCAACCGCCACAGCAGCTGCCGCCGCCACCCCGGCTGCTGGCTTTGTCTGGATGCCGCCTCCCTTGCCAAGACTTGGCTCGGAACCATCACTGCTGTCGTTGATGACAGCAGGGCTGCTACCGGCAGCAGCAGCAGCATGTGTGGCGGCGGCGGCTCCTTGCCGCAGCGCTGACCAGTCAACGGATGCCGAAAGCGACGAGGACACGGACAGCAGCTGCTGCAACTGCCGCTGCAGCTGCTGGTGTTGGCGCTGCTGCTGCCGCTGTTGCTGCTGCAGCTGCTGCTGGAGCAGGTGTTGCAGCAGCTGGATCTGCTGCTGCAGCCAGAACTGCTGCGCGGGGGCCCCAGGTTGCTCCGGCACCTGCGGCGGCGGCTCCGAGGACTGGTAGTGGAGGCTGCCGTCCGGTGGGTGTGACGCATGTCCGATGCCCCAGCCCATATCCTGACAGCTACTGCCGCCGTCACCGTCGGCGGCGCCGCCACCGCTGCTGTACACACCGACGACGCCGCTGCCGCTGGCGCTGCTGCCCAGCTCATCTGCATGCGTGGGGGTGGTGGGAGGTAATGGGGCAAAAAGAAGCAGGAGTCAGGCGCGCGCGTGGCGGTGGTGGGGTGGAAAGCAAGTGATACAGCAAGATGAAACAACGGTATCGGTACCTCATCTGCAGCGCCTTGTTACCTTGGGGGCCACAGGTGTTGTGCGCACCCCATTGGACTCGGTGTCAATCCACCACAGAGGTCCGCACCCTTACGACTTTCCTGACCTGACCCGTTGTTGCTCCGGAAGTGCCCAAAACCGAAGCTGATAAACCAGCTCCGAACACGCCCGCAACCCCACTACTACAAACTCACCGTAACGGCTCCGCGGCGACACCGGCCCCTTCCCGCCGCCCACTGCCGGCACTCCTCCCTCCGCAGTCACACGCACATGCAGCTCATGCTGCCGCTGCTGCTCCTGCACCCCTCGTGCAAACCCACTTGCTCCGCCGCTCCCGGTGCTCCCGTCGACGCCACCGCTAGAGCTCCGGCCGCTCTCACTAGAACCGGACGCCATGCCAGCAGCCCGCGCCGCCGCCCGATGCTCCCGCCTCCGCTGGTACTTCTCCTGAAGCATGGCCAGCAAAGCACCCGCCTGGCGCGCAGCAGCGGGGTCCAGCGCAGCCGCCAAAGCAGCGTCCACATCGCTGCTGAGACCGCCCTTCCTCCTGCTTGCGCCGTTGGCTGCAGCAGCGGCGACGCCTCCCGGCTCGGTGTTGGTGGGCGGAGTCCTGGGACCCACGTCTGCTAGCAGGCTTTGCAGGTGGGGAGCGGCATTACGACCACTCGAAGCCGAAGCATTAAGTTGCTGCTGCCGCTGTTGTTGTTGTTGCTGCTGCTGTTGTTGTTGCGGGTCATGTGGGTGGAGGGGTGCTGGCGGACGCCGACGCATGGTGCTTACCGCGCTGGTGTTGGTGTTGGCGTTAGAGATGTTGTCGGTTTGCACGGAAGCGGTGTCGTAGTTGCTCTCCGAGGGAGCCCAGAGTCTGCCCGCCGCCAAGTCCAGCGTTTGCAGCATGGCAGCAAGCCCCTGCCGGTGCTGCTGCTCCCGCGCTTGTTGCTCCTCCAAGGATAGCGCCAACGGCTGCTGCTGTTGTTGCTGTTGCTGCAGCAGTTGTGGCAGGAGCAGCAGGAATGCAGGGTTGATGGATGCAGAAAGCAGCTCCGCGGCATTCCCGGGGCTGTTGCTGCTGCCGTCACCGCTACCACGGTCGCCGTTGTTGCTGCTGGCGGCGCTGGCTCGGAGGGCGGCGGCAACAGCCTGTACGACGGCCCCCGTCGTCGCCGCCGCCGCCTCTGCTCGCTCACTAGAGGAAATCAGCCCGGTCGCTGTCGCGGCGGCGGTGGCTGTCCTCGCCGAGCCCATGCTGCTGTGCAGCAGCGACTCTGCCACGTCCGATGACCCCGGAGAGCTGCCGCCACCACCGCCGCTGGCGTTACCGTTACCCGCAGATTCCGACCTGTGCCGCTGTCGTTGCTGCGCCCGGAGGCCTCCATCGACATTGCCGCCACCTGCGTCATGCAGCGCGCCCCACGCACCCAGGGAATACTCCGCGCCCGCGCGGGCCAGCGGCGAATCAGCTCCTCCCGCAGCAGCAGCAGCGGCGGCTGAGGCGGCCGCACTGTCCCCGGCCGCCAGGGAGTCGCTCAGCACGCGGCTCTGCAGGCGCTGCGCCGCGGCGGTCTGGCTCATGAGTGTCAGCACGGAGTTCAGCAAGGTGGCACGCGGGGAGGCAGCAGGCGGCGGAGGCGCTACTGTCGGGCCAGCGGGTGCCGCCGCAGCGACGGCGGCGGCTACAGTGGCTGCTGTGCTTCCGTGTGCGACCGCCCCACCCTGTCCATGGTGTGGTGCGGTGATACCCGGCATGCCGTTGGCACGGGGCGCTGAAACCGTGCGAAGCCCAGCCAGCGCCCTCGCCGCGTCACCTGCAGACCTGGAGGAGGCGGCGGGTGACCATGGAACCCCTGCCGGTGATGTGGGTCGCCGTCGGGAGGCATCCACGCCGGCAGATCCGGCAGAGTGCGGCCGGGCTCTGCTGCTGCCGCCGCCCCCGCCGCCGCTGTCGCCAAGTCCACGCTGTGGCGGCATGTAACGCCCACGCGATGAGCCGCTGCCGCCAGCGCCGCCGGTGCTTGCGAAATGCGGTCGTATCGTCACCTGGCTCCCTGCTGCTGAGGGCTGCTGCGGGGCGACGGCAGCGACAGTGGAATCCAGTCCCGATAGCGGCCCCGTCAAGCTGCGTAAGATGGTATCCAAAGAGCCGCGGAAGCTTGCCGTACTCGAAGCGCCAACGCCTCCGGTAACACCGCCGCCAATGCCATTCGCGACGGCAGTACTTCCCGACCACCGCAGGTTGCTGCTGCGGCTGCTGGCGCCGCCACTTGAAGCCCTTCTTGTCGAGGTCGAGGGCGCGGCCACAGGCTTAGAGGGGGAGGCTGCTACAGGTGCAGCAGCGGTGGTGATGGTGATGGGAGCTACGGCCGGGGAGCCGCCGGGCCCGCTGTGTCGTGAGCCCGGAGACCGGTAGCGGCGCCCAGTAGAGGAAGCGCGAATGACCAGAGGTACAATTGCTTGCTTTTGTTGCTGCTGCAAAGCCTCAGCTACCGTTGCGCTGGGGCTCCCGAGTAGCGGCCCTAATCGCTGATGCGTGGCAGCGACCGCAGCTGCCGCCGCCGCAGAGCCAGGGAAGGACCGACGGCCTGGCACGCCAGCAATTTCCGTGGAGGATGCGTTCGTCAAATGAAGCACCGAGGACTGGCGCTGACGCTGCGGTGGTACAGTAGCCTGCACTTTGCGGTGCCGGGTTTCATCGAAAGAGAGGCGGGTAAGCGAGAAGGTGGCAGGGCTGGCTGGAGCAGCAGCTGCCATGGCGGCAGCTGCAGCGGCGGTAGCGGTAGCTGTCGCAGAGATGATGGAGGAGTCTACGCTGTGGTTGAGGAAGGAGGGAACATCGGTATCGGCGGGTGAAGGGGGGGCTGCTGTGATCAATCCGGTGGTGTTACCGTACTGCGGGCTTTGAGGCTCCAAGATGGTTCTTGGAGCTGAGGCAGGACGTGCGGGTGTGGCCAGGATGCCTGTGTAGCGCAGAGTGGAGGGCGATAGCGTGCGTTGCGGTGGAGATGCCTGCCACTTAACGGAGGCTCTGGAGGTCTTGGAGCCCGATGAGTAGGATGGAGATGGAGGCACCGCCTGACGTGGCGATGATGTAGAACGGCGGATGCCACGCATTACTTCATTTAGCGCAATGGGCTTTGGCACTCGTTCCGGCGATAAGGCTGCAGCAACCCCTGCTGCGTTTGCGCCCAGCGCAAGGTTCGGTGAAGAGGCGAGGCGCAGCTTTGTCCGAGATGAGGAGACATCCCCAGGCAACTGCTCTAGGACTGTATCCAAAGGCAGCCGAAGCTGAGGCACCAGCGCTCGTCGGGACGCGAACTCGTCCAGCTGCGAAGCTGATGTGGCCCGGAATGAACCCTGAGGCGCACTTGAATCCAGGCGCCTTGGAGTAAACATTTTCGTTAGAAACCCGTTGTTGCTTGTCATGCTGAACGTGACTCAGATTGAGCAGAGGGCTGTTTCAGAAGGTCATGATGACGACTCTGCAACTCCCAGGTTGGATGGCTCCCGTGACGGTCAGGTTGGCGGAAACAGCATATCATTTCATAGGTGGGTCTGCAAAGTAAGTCAACAAAGGTAGGGAGAGGAATACGTCTAACGGTCGCGGTCAAAGCAAGAGCTACGCAAGAAAGGGTCCAAGTGCTTTCACAGTTCGCTAGCTCTAGAGTCCTCTGTATGTCGATAAGTCCCAATCGTCGGAAAGCTGTGGGTTCGCGGTGAACTTTGGCCAAGTCTTGTTGTAAGCCGTACCATGCCAATCCCAAGCACTCCTAAGCGATATGCCCCGCAATATACCACCTAATCCAGTTTGTTATGAAGTGCCAGCGCCATGTCTTGTACCCTTCATTCTAGCGCTTGCAACAGATGCTACGCCGAACGGCATTGCAGAGCTTCATGCAGCAAAAGCAGAGTTCATGGATCCATACAGAAGCCTTTCATTCAAACTCCGCGGTGCGATTAGGGTCATGCCCTCTGCGTGCGGTCGATATGCAAGGCTGTTCTTAAACCTGACGGGTTTTCCTCAGGGGAACGACGCCGCTCACAGCGGGGCTTTCACAGCTGGGAGCTTTTCATCAAGCGACCACGCAAGGCCGCTCGTCGTGGGTATGTCGAGCAGGAGCCATAGACGGCATGCCCGCATGGACTCTGGACCAAATTGCGGGACTAGTGTTTGGGGTAAGATTCCATCCGCATAACGCAGAGGCGGTCACCGTCACTTGTGTGGCGTTACATGTCATGCACACTTCTATAAAATCCATCCACGGCCCATCAGTGTTCATCCAGGACCCAGACCTACGTCCTAAGCCTCCATCGCAGCAAAACACAGCGAAGTTTTTTTCCCTTGTTTAAAGACAATATGTCAGCCTTGTTCACAGTGGGCTAATTGCTTGTGCTTAAGCTCATGTTCATACTAGCACAACACACACTCCGTTCCACCTCCTCACTACACATTATGCTCCATCTCCTCTTTACCCTGGCTCTTCCCAGGAATACCCACCGCTCCCCACCACCCCGCCCCCTGATTAACAACTCAATCTTCTTCTTCTCGTTCCCCACACCCTTCCCTCACGCCCCTGCAGGCTGTGATGGTGGCATTTGTGGCAGGCTCCCGCCAGGTGGACGTGTGGGTGGCTCGCGCGCAGCGGCGGCAGCTGGGGCTGTGTGAGGAGTGCGGCGGCGTGTACGAGCCCGGGAGCTGTGCTCAGGGCAACTGCCCAGCCAAGAAGCAACAGCGGCTGCTGTAGTAACAGCGGTAGCGGTGGGGAGCAGGAGAGAACCGCAGCGGTGGCAGGGAGTGCAGGGGCGGCTGCGGCTGTAGCAGTAGCAGTAGGGATGGAGCCTTGCAGGAGGGCTGAAGTGATTGCGTGAAATGTGTATTTGAGTAATGTATGGTGTGTATAGCTAGGGCGACGGGAACGTTGTGCAACGGCCGTTTTGGCCTGAAGGAGGGAGGGGCCCAGCCAAGGCTGGGGGCATTGATTGTTCGCCCATGACGGCTATGAGACGATAGGAGCGCGTGAGGATAAACTAACTTTTCGGTACGTGTTGCAGCGAGGGGAAGCACGCATGGTAAAGAAGTTGCGAAGAACACCCTTGCTGCCGCTCTTGTTATGTGTCCGGGCTAGGGCCGCAGCGTACCGAACACCCTTGCTGCCGCTCTTGTTATGTGTCCGGGCTAGGGCCGCTGGCCCACTTCCGCGGAGCCATTGTTGATAATGCTGCACAATGCCGGGCACTAAGAACCCCTGGAAGAGGTTTATCGTGAGGTCGTTTCAGGCTTTGAGCTTTCACGACCGGTTTGTACGGACTACAGTAAGGCGTCCATGAGGTACCGGAGTGGAATAGTTGCAAGGAATAATGCTGATTTCATGGGCCATTTATTTACACGCTACTAGGGTTACAGGCGCAAAAGCGCGTTGACACGTCGGGTTTGTAATCAACTGGAAAATGTTCCTAAGCTTATAGCTACACTTACCTCTAATGAGAGACACCCTCATGCAAAATGCAAAGTTGCAATCCAACATTTGCATGCAAGCGGTTGTGTGCTGCGGCCCCAGAATTCGACGACATTTTTTGCTGCCGGTGTTGCTCCTCGTGCTGGTTGCTCATTCCAAAATCTCAGGTACGTAGACGTCCACTTAAACGTCAAGCTGCCTGGCTTGTGTACATAAGAAAGTTTTGGAGCCGTTGCACGTCGACTTGATGCAGATGCTGCGACGGAATCGAACGCTAAGGCCGCGACTGCTGATGATGAAAGTCGGGACCTACAAGGCCAAAACAAGATTGAAAGCGCCTTCAACTACACAGCGCTGGACTGTAGCCGTTATGAACCAACATATGCACAAATTGAACGCGACCTCGAAATCCATCGACAGCTGGGCACCTCTTTTAACTCAACGCAGTACATAGCGCACCGTCTGGGCACCCCGACGATGCGAGGGCTGACGGTCGGGTGGGTCAACGGTTTCAACGTTCGTGAAAGCAAGCAAATCGATTACTCCTGCTCATGCATACCCGTTGGACAGCGTCCCGCAGCCAACGCTGTCCACTGCCGGGGCGTGCTCGCGAGGCTTGATCGTCAGACTATGTCGTTGTTGCGTTCAACAGTGCTGACAGTACGCTTTGGATGGCTAGTGTACGATAACCAGAGGGTTGCTGGCAGGTGGCTTCATGGATGCGATCTGTGATGTGGGTCAAGGACAGCAACCAGCAAGGGGGCACCACAAGTCATGGTTGGAGGGTTGGAGTCGGCTGCTTACCATAGCGTCTCTCTCCCGACCTCGTGTACCGACCTCCTTCTGTCCTCCCTACTTCTGTCCTCCCTCCTAACCCCTCCTTGCCTTCCCTCTCTTTCTCCACATACCACACTTTGGAATTTCTTTTTTCCCTTCCCCTCCCGCGCACAGCTTCTTCGGCGGTCGCGCCTACCTGCTCCTCCCCACCAACTTCTCCGCGCTGTCGCACCACGCCCGCCTGCACGTGGCCTACCTGCGGCTGCTGCTGCACCTGGAGGACAGCTTCGGCGGGCGGGGCGGCGGGCTGCCGGAGGGGGCGGTGCTGGTGCTCACCACCTCGGACACACCGAGATATGTGAGGGGGAGGGAGGGGTGGGAGGGGGGGAGGGAGGGGGAGGAGGGAGGACTGGGGAGGAGGGAATAAGCGAAACAACGGGTCCCAATCCCATATCCCGACTCATGCAGTGAGCGCATTCGGAGACACTATCCTAGAAGCACGCATCTCAAATTACTTACCGAATCGTTGCTTACCGTAAACCGAGACGACTTGAGGAAGAAGCCGCCTTGCGTGGTAATACTAGGGAGATATGTGCCGCGCCGCCGGTCACGAAATGCCAAAGCAACAAGCATATTGGGTATACGAGTATACATGTTATCGAGACGCGTTACGAGAAACTTACCTGGAAATGGAGGCCAGAATTGCCGTGGCCGTAAGGAGGGGAAGGAGGGAGGGGGGGAAAAGAAATTCCAATGTGTGAAACAAGGGAGGGAGGGGGAGGGGTAAGAGCAGGGAATAGTTTAGAGCAAGGATTGCGGGGCATCCATGATGGTCCGTATAGTGTGAAACAGAACCGCATGCTTCCTTCCCTCACCCTTCAGCCTTTCTGAGTATCACCTTCACCCCGTCAGGGCCACACTTGCCCCCACCCATGGGCCCCATCCCTCCCGATCCCCCCTCTCCTCCCTCCCCCTCTCTTCACTCTCACCCTCCACCACAGCCCGTTCCGAGGAACCCCATACACACAATACCCCTCCGCCACCCCCCTACCCCTCTTGCTTTGCCCTGGGCCGGGTGGGGTGGGATGGGCCGGGTTCAATCAGCAGCTCCTGGTGAAGCCTCGTCATACAAGTCGTCAGTTTCCTTGCCTTTAACACCCCCCACCCCCCCACCCCCACCCCCTCTTACCCCCCTCACACCCCCCAGGTTTCCCCCCTGGTGGTCAACACCAGCAGCCCGCAGCCCTACCTCCAGCCCGGGGGCCACGACCCGCGCTTCGCCCCCGGTCCCTACCCGGTCGCCGGCATCTGCAAGAGCGACTACTGGCCCGACCTGCTGCTGGTGCCCAACTTCCACTTCCACATGAAGTGAGGGGGGGGGAGACCGGGGCGGGGAGGGGGGCAGGAAAGACAAAGGTTTGTTTGCTGCGCATTGCTCCGTACGTGCCACAACGTCCCCACTTGCACAGTACGACACCCCCGCCCCCACCCCAGATTGTACGACAACACCTCGCTGGGGTCCATCCCCACCTACAACGCCACCCCCTGGGAGAAGCGCAAGCCGCTGCTGTTTGGACGGTTCAGGTGGGGAAGCAGTGAAGGGGGGAGGGAAGGGGAAAAATTGAGTCCCAATCCCATATGAAGGAGGGAGGGAAGGGGGGAGGGAAGGGTCAACGAGCAATCACAAAACCATAGGGAAGCACAGGTTAGGGCAGGGCAATGGGGAGGAGGGAGTGGGAGAGGGGCTTGCACTAGGGACAGTACACAGTAGGCCTCCTCCCGTCCTTGCCATGCTGCCCATGATGCTGCCATATCCCTCTTCACTACTCCCTCAGGAGCCCTCTTCCCTCCCCTCACTCACCCTTTTTCCCTCCCCCTCTTCCTCCCTCCCCCCCATACCCCCCCCAGCCGCTACCGCACCAATCGCGCTGCCGGCGACCCCACCACCCTCAAGCTGGGTCGCGGCGGGCGGCACATCTGCTACCACGGCAACACTACCTGCCCCACTCGCGAGTACTTTGTGAGGGAGATAGCGAACAAGGTGGGGACGGAGGAGGGGGAGAGGGGGTGGGGTTGGGGTTGCGGTTGGAGCGGGAGGTGGGCGGGAGGAGGGGTTGAGGGGCTAGGGGAGGAGGGGTTGAGGGGCTAGGGGAGGAGGGGTTGAGGGGCTAGGGGAGGAGGGGTTGAGGGGCTAGGGGAGGAGGGGTTGAGGGGCTAGGGGAGGAGGGGTTGAGGGGCTAGGGGCGGAGGGGCTGAGGGGCCAGGGGAGGCGGGGTTGAGGGGCTAGGGGAGGAGGGGTTGAGGGGCTAGGGGAGGAGGGGTTGAGGGGCTAGGGGAGGAGGGGTTGAGGGGCTAGGGGAGGAGGGGTTGAGGGGCTAGGGGAGGAGGGGTTGAGGGGCTAGGGGAGGAGGGGTTGAGGGGCTAGGGGAGGAGGGGTTGAGGGGCTAGGGGAGGAGGGCAGTCCTGTCCTACCGTACCCCCCCCCGTCTCCCGCAGATGGGTGGGCACAGTTGTCACAGTGGGGAACCCTATTCAACCCCCGTCCCCTCCTCCTCGCGCCCCTGTACCTCAATATGCCAACTCTCCCCGCACACGGCCCCTCCCCCATCTTCCTCCCCCACCTCCCCCCAGAACCGGGACCGCATGGACGTGCGCTTCAGTGCCAAGGTGCCGCTGCCCGCGCATGCGGCCTACAAGTACCTGATCAATCTGGAGGGGCAGGGGTAGGAAGAGGGGGGGAGGCGGGAGGGCGAAGGGGGAGGAATGGGGGCTGCAGGGAAGGGGGAATACCCTTTGTGACCCTCTCCCCCTCCAAGCTTTATAGCCCTTGTGCCCATGTGCGAAGGACAGCAGTGCACGTTAACCCCTCCCCTTACCCCTCCCCACCGTCCCCTCCCCCCGCTCCCGGGATTGCCACACCTTTCCAACCCTTCCTCCCCCCGCCCCCGCTCCCCCCCAGCATCTCCTCCCGCCTGGAGCAGCTGCTGCCGGTGGGCAGTTTGGTGCTCAAGGAGGCGTCCGGCTACTACGCGTACTACTACAAGAGGTGGGGGGGAGGGAGGGGGGAAAGAGTTGGCAGAGGGAAGAGGGGTAAAGAGAACCCAGCGTATGCTGATGATGCCCCCTCCCTCCCCGCATGCAGGCAAGCATTCGTTGAGTCTCTAAGCTGCGTGTTCCTGGATTAGTGTCTCCAAAGGCGCTCACTGCATGAGTCGGGATCTGTGGACTGGGACTCCGTTGCTGCACTTTTCATTTCATTTCCCCTCCCTTCCCCCTCCCCCCCCCAGCCTGCTCCGGCACGGCGTCAACCTGCTAGAGTTCTGGCGGCAGCACCCGGAGGAGGTCCTGCAGCAGCTGGACTGGGCGGCCGCGCATGACGGGCAGGCGAGGGAGGTGGCGGAGGCGGGCAGGCGGCTGGCGGAGCGGTACCTGACTGGGGCCGGGCGCACCTGCTACTGGTACAGGTGCGGAGGGGGGAGGGTGAGGGTGGAGGAAGAATACCCAATGTGTTGAATGAAAGTAGGGTGGCAGGGTGGGAGGGGAGAAGGAGGCTACCGGGATGATGTGGGAGGGGTGGTGCGAGGGAGGAGGCAGGCTTTGTGTTGTTCATCACTGCGCGCCACACAGCGACCGTATGCAGCTTCAATCTGTGTGCACCCACGTGACCTTCATCATCCACGTGACATCCATACCATTACGTGGCCATCCGTTATCTTGGCTCATGCGACACGCCACTGCTGCTTGCAGCACCCACTGCTGCCACAGGGTTGCAAGTACCGGTCTCGTGTCTCATGTGTTTTACATTTGTACGGCATGCCTGCATGCATGCAGGTTGCTACACGGGCTCCGGAGCACCCTGTCGTACACCCCCCACTTGTCCCAGTGGCCCGAAGCGCAGCTGGTACGGCAGGTGGTGGAGGAGCAACTGCCGGCAACACCGAACGGCAAGGAGCTGTACGACCTGCCGTGGGCGCCGTAGTGGGGAGGCCGGAAGCAGCAGCAGCAGGTAACAGGAGCAGGGGGAGCGGGAGGGGGAGCAGGAGGCAGCGGGGGACAAACCACTTGCGTGTGACGGCGGCTTGGTTTGATGGTGGTGCCGTACATGGGCACACAGCTGAACGAGAGGGAGAGGGGCAGCAGAGGAACACACAAACACACACCGGGTACGTTCCTACTCGCGGCCAGTTACTTTAACAC